TTCAACTAGAAATATTTTCGCAATACTTTGCAAACGCAGGTTATTACCGTGATTTGTTCCGCTTCATAACTTTTTTTAGACTATAGCGGTGACAGCTAATTTGTCAGTACTCCAGGTGTAAAATAATTCCTGTCCAACTGCGCTCCGACACAGCATATACGCAAATAATCTTGATATATTGGCTGTCACAACACTCATACTTTTTTCGTCACGTAGACTATAGCAAAAATAGTCAACGGTTGTTAGTAAGTGGACTAGTAAAATCGTTTATGCGCAATTTTAATTGCCGGATAGTGATTATTGATAGTAATATGCTTCAAACTCTAAAACCGCTGTTAAAACTAAAACACAATCGATGAGAGCTATAAGCTATTTGAAACATGTGTGAGCAACATTGCAGGTATCGCTCCACGCACGAATTTACTAGATATGACAATGAGCAGCCATGAACAAAATGAGAAATCGTGTTCTTTGTGCCTTAGTGCTTTACTGAGTGCGTTCGACATTGGGGAAATACAGAAATACCCGACTGGGATAGCATCCACTTTTTAGTTTTCGTCTTGGAAGGGTTATTTTTTAATCACTTATGCGTCCCATGTGCTTAACTTATAATTATGTCTAGGTCCAATTAATTATTTTCCTAGTTGTGTCATCTGGCAGCCACTCAACCGGTTTTTCATTAGCATGCACGTTGCAGCCATTACAACCAACGCTTTAGAATGTTTGAGTTTATGAAGAATAGGTTGCATGTATTCAAAACTTAGTTTGCATCAACCATTGCAGCTGTGTACCATGTAGATGAACTCAGACTAGTCAGTGCCCTTGTGAACTTCCTCTGTCGTGTAAAGGGATTCAGCTTGTATCCGAACTGAAATAAGGTACAAACATCGGCTGCCAAGACCAGCGGGTTGTAGGTAATTTCTGTAAGCTTCATCAGTATTCACGCAGATTGGTTTTGACATCGATCGCGTATATGATATGAGTCGCAGGATTAAAACAGCATCATAACTTAAGCGAGAAATCATAATTATTAGGGATTTCTTGATAATTCTTGTAGCGGGAAAATATGCAGTCCAAAATGTATACCAAGTTTCTGCTGTGTCCTCCATAGCCATGCATCACACAAATGTTTATCTCGGTACCCAGCTGAAACTGACGCTCCTCATGGGAGCAAATGTGAAAAGGCATTTTCCCATTTCAAACGGTTCGGGTAGCGCTTGCCCACAATTTATATTCACAAAGGTTCTATGAATACTATACATCTAGGTTTAAGAAAATATCTTTAGTCTGTTTACGGTGGTATAATCACTCCGACTCTGGTCGAACTAGAGTCGACAGTTCTAACAGAAGTGCGAGTGCTTACATTAAAAGCCTCTGTGTTCTGCTTCATTGAATATAATCGAGCTCCCAACATAAACCGCCTTTGTCACATAAATAATGCATGCATATTTTTTCTATATTAAGACGGAGATTGCAAGTGTCTGAATAATTTACGTTGAACATCTGAGGATATCTGAAAGATATCTACAGACATACCGATAATTAAAAAAGTACTATCTCGTTTTACAAAGCTAGACCATTTAGAATGCCAGGTGAAAAGTGGCCACGCTAGACTGTTTAAGATCTGTAATAAACTTGACAGATTTATCGCGTTTTAGAAAAATCTGTGTCGCAGTCGCCATTAGACATTCTACGTGGGATAAGAAGGGTGTAATAAATAGATGGTATAAGAAAACTCACAACAAATTTTGGCATGGTTTATATACAGGAAGCCTGTTAGGCAGTTATCACACGTGATTGTGTCATAGTATTTAGTATCAAAGAACCGAAATTAACAAGTGACCTCAGGAATGTAGATTTTTATATATATCTAAATTAGGGTTGATTTGGATATTATTTGCTCTATAAACTACTTGTATTTGAGAAAAAATCAAAGGTGATAGGAAGGCCGCGATAATGATTGTGTACAACTTACTTGTGTGCTGTTCGCTGAGTATGTGTTTGTTCTAGTAATGACCTTAATTTAAGTATAGGGAAACCATTTCTATGACACAAGTTAGACTTTTTCAATCAATAAACAACATGAACACTTGGAATTTAATAGATGCAAGTGCAAAGTCAATTAAGAATCGATTTACGCTAATTTTTTCCTCTTGTTTGACTTCGACCCTTTGCTACGAAAAGCGAATTGCGGTAGAATAGCAACGTTAACCCAGCTTTGTTACAGTTCGTAGAGATACACTGTAGCGCAGTCTATTTTTGCATTAAGTACATTGGAGTTTAAGGCTTACTTATTTCTTTTGTGGTGCCTACTTTTCTCAGTTCTGATTCTGGACAATGCACTGAAATTTGAGCAAATATTTCAGCTGTTGAATAGTTAAACACAAAATTGTGGACTATTCGACGCGTATCTTTGAGAATAGTGCCCACAGATTTTAACTAGTGAGCCCTTTCATTAGATACAGTGGCCATCAGGTTTGTTTGTAGATAATTTTTGACAAGTATCAGCTGTTCCTAGTAAGCTGCAAACATACTATGCTAAAATAGTTACCAGAACGTCTCCAGGGTATCCCATATCAAACTTCGAAATGCTATGTAGATTCAAAGCACTGGTAAGTGAATTCCTGACACGGGCGGCCAACCACACTTATCTGCACGGGGAGTAACTTACATAGCGGTGAAATATGCGTCGTGCTATATCGCAGTTAGATTTCAATTCGTGATTGTCGGCTATCGTCGCACACGGCTAAGTGGCATAAGATGTTTACTAGGGGGCAAACTACTAAAGGTTATGCGTTAAATCCCCAGCAGGAGACCGAAGGAATGCGCAACATTGACGAGTTCCAATAAGCGAACAATCGACTGAGACTTTTTCAGCTTAATAGTCTACCTACGCGGCTTACAAAATAATTGCGTTGAACCGAATAAAATTAAAGGTTTGCACTACTGTTTTTCGGTTTATTGCATCGTTCATAGCATTTTAAGTACTTTGGTTTATTTTCAACATTTCATTTGACAGTTCGAAAATAATGTGAAAAATATAACTGGTAAAGCTAACATTGCTTCTAACATAACATGAGCCCTCAAACTGATGCTCAGGTTGTATGATAGGGGCACTAGTTCTAAACATTCAACTTGCAAATAACTATTTATTCGTTTTCTTTGATGAGAATGAAATTCAACTCCCTTTTGTTGAGGCATGCTGCTTGGATTTGGCAGGCTAAAAGTTAAGTGAACACATTAAGACGAAGATGTTCCCGTACCCATTTTCAGTATAATACATTGGTAATTACTCTTGTTTAAATAATTTGCAAGCCTGTCCAGCAATCAAGCTAGTTGAGCATAGTAAAGATTGGAAAAGCTTTGTGAAAGTGACACTAAGGTGCGGTTTGTTTGCATCAATCTGCAAGATCAGCAAAGGCACAGATAATTTTTACAGACACTATTTAACTTTTATAACCTACAATGCAATTTCCGTGCTTAAAAAGGTAAAACATGCTCCCTGATTTTAAAATGGTATCGTAATATAATATATTATTAGGATGTATGACCTATCATTTAACTTGGTCCATCTCTGACTATATAAAACATCGGAAATATTCAGTAATTTAAAAAAGCCTGTGGCCGCCTGGATATTGCTTATTGCTATCGTTTGCGCAGCGAATACATAGAATGTTTTCACCTAGTTGCCTTGCATCTACATGATATTACCGAAAAAGACAACGTTGGGAGACAAGTAGAGTTATTGTGGAATTGTCGTTTTGGTTGCCCAGTATGAATTATTTTACTAATTTTAATGCTATAAATAAGATTGCTAGATGATATGCATAACGTAATTCGTTTGCGGCAGCTAGACATTATGTTACTGTCAGCACAGAAAAGTAACTCAGTTGCATTGACAAATTGTATTGATTTGGAGTGTTGTTGAGCACGCATAGTACGGAATTTTTGTAGAATTTATACACCATTTTCTTCTTTACATTATTTATAGTTTCAAGCATCCAATATAAGCATCTTTAACCAATTCATGATAACAGCTTCTACCATTAATTCCAAAACAATCACTTAAGATAACAACCTGATAATTCGATTAAAATTAAAACCACTTTCTCAAAAGTGACCTTTGCAGCACTGCTTCTTAATTACCTATGATGTAGTGAATTCGATAGTTCGAATCTTATAGGTACCGTCTTCTGACAATTAAACACAGTCCAAATTGTTGTTTGTGGATTGCGTACATGTGGCATATAGGAGATGTGTTGTACTGGTTCAAATAATTGTGGCCATTATTGGTATGTGCTATTAGGCACTTCACGTTACTTATCTGACGGCGTCTCTATGGCTCTTACTTTGAGCATGTTTCGACAGTGCATCTAATATCGGCAATGAACACTCGCAGGGTAACTGCATGATCACACATTGTGCTTTAGTTGATATACAAGCTTTATTTTCTAATGTTACACCCAGATCAAATCACACCTTGTGCGCTATTTTTCTCGCTGGTGCGCATCGGTTCCAATTCAAACGGACGTGATCCCAAGTTTAGTACTAGTGTTACCCTGGTAAATCTGTATTTGTAAGCTTACAGCCAAGCAGATAGGAACTGAAATCTAATGTCTTATAGTTAAACCCTCACACCAATCCAGTGCAAGACTAAATGCAATTAGGTTCAAAACATCGTAGTTCAAGTGAATTTGTATAGACTTTTCCCGGTTCAAAGAATCGCATCGATTGGGCTTTTATTCTTAAGTTACGAAAATATGTTTAACTGCTGAACGAACTTTCCCAGTAAACGGAACTAAAAGCAAGTAAATTTCCTTTTGATAGAATATACGCTAGACCGCATGGATGTATATTCTTTCGATTCAAGTTAATCTACTTTTACGCAAATATAATTTATATCACCATAAGTCATTTAAAAAATGAGTTAAAAGAATTGGCATATACATGAATCAGTAAACCTCGTTCAGATTAATGCGGGCCAGAGTCTGATAACTGACCTTCTTCTCCCTGGAGTGGATAGCGATTTTCACCGTTTCTAATGGATGCTTCAACTCCTGTGCCGTGTGATCGAATTCTCCTCTTAAAAGACAATGTACCTCGTCTGACGTACGACACAAATCGATACAATTCACCGCGAAGTCCATACATTTGACAGCCAGTTCGGAGTATTCTTCCTGGGGACAACATATGAGGTTGACAGTTAAAGGTAACGAGTAAAAGGGTATGAGACCGAAGGTGAAATAGGCAGCAGGGAACAGGAACTGCTCTTTGTAAGCCAAAGGGGAACTACCGTTACCAAGCACAGCAATGGGAACTTAGACAGACGGTTTCGAACAGCAATTGGAAAAAACTATTAGAGCATTGTCCGGTTCGAGACTATGCATGAAAATCGAAAACGATACATTTTATTTTGTTTAACGCTTGGCGCAAATACTCACATCCACTAGATGGTTCGAAAGACTTCACTTGAACTAAAATATATTGATAGTTTATGTTAATGTTAGTGTTGCCTGATTAGTGCCGCAGTGCTGTTCTAACTTTCACCTCATGACGGAACAAACGATAAACACTTATTAGGTGAGTTGACTAGATTCAGTATGATCTCATGGAACATAATTATAAAAGTAGATGATTAATTTACCACTGAAGATGTTGACTGTGTACTTTGTGCTTAATACAGTGTGAGGTTTGCATTGCTGTTATTATTATATCGTTGAGACCAGTTGCTTAAGGCTTTTGATGGATTTGACTGAAGAGTATACTGTATTAAGAATTACTTCCTTGTGTAAGCAAAATCTACAGATGTCTTGTTGAATGTCGGCTTGCCAGTGCGGTTTTACCGAGGCTGTCATGCTGACTCATTGATGAGTTGACCACACGTAGCGTTTTCCTCCCTCAGCACAGCACATTTCTTGTGCGTACTGTACCGCGCATTTCCTTTGCGAAAGCAACTGATCGGGCATTTAACAATTTCTGCAGCGTGATTTAAGCTAGAAGTAAGTCTTAAAAGGAAGGTTTTTAAAACCTGAAGAACCCCAGGCATACTTTTCTGCTTCATTCTTTTGATAACTTTACTAAACTGAACACATTCATTTATCATTATGCAAGAGCATAAGAATCTGGATCTGACTGTTCATTGGGGCAGTTTCTCGCCAATTTGATAAATATACCATTTATTTATTTTATTCGCTGCTTTGGGCGCTTTAGCGATGTTTAAGCTATTGTGAGTTCAAAAGTGTGTTTGATCAATTGACAGGTACAATTGTATGAATTCACTTAGTTTGTTCTGAACAACGCGGAGTATTTTCCAGTTAATGTTTGTAACAACAAATTAATATTCATGCTGTTGCTTTTACATTACTGTTTATTCATTGCTATTTCTGAAACAGAAGCATCAGAAATAGCAATACAAATTTGGTGAAAATTAGCCACGCATCTGTATACAACCTAGCCTCACAGGAGTAAAATATATTTTCCAATAAAATAAAATATCACAATTTTGGGTACATTGCCCATGAGATATAAGTATGACCTTGTCGTCTGGTTTAATTGCTAGGTAACATGAGTAGCCAAATATGTGTGTCAATTCTAGGTGCTGAATTGTTGGCGTTCCTATCCTATCGTAGATTACATGTGAGTGAAATGCAGGCAATTAATTTTTAGTGTGTCACGCAGCGCTGACATTACTTATAGAATACCAGAAAAAGAAGTTACTCCAATGTCCTTTCCATAAGTTGAAGTAACCTCACATACTAATGAAAAATAATGGCACTTTTGCGGGTTTTGTACTAAGTGTTTCTTGGAAAGAAGAAATGCATTAATGCAAGTCTACTATATTCTAAACACATATTAGCATAATTTAACAAACTGAAATCTCCATACTTTGGGTCGCATTTGTTACTGATCTTTGTGTCGATTAAAACGTGGTAATGTGTTTGCTGAAAACTTAACTATTAAAAACGGAAATTATGTGAATATTTTACGCTGCTCCGACTAACTCGCAATTGTTTTTTTCAGTAATGATTGTCCAGTAAATCATAGATCACGAATATTTTACTCGAAGTTGTCTGTTGTCGCTCTATCTCGCAGGTTGTTTGGTCGGAACGAAGAATTGTTCTTATGAATTAAATAGTGCGATAAATTGCCGGAAATATTTCCTCGTGAAATAGCTTCGTATAATAAGGCATTAAGTCATTTCCAACTTCTGGGAAAGCGCATTCTTCCTCTGCTTTTACTTTAAACCTATTAGGTACCCTAATTGCTAATAAAAAGACAGCGTCTAAATAGGTTTCCGGCTCTTCATATATTTTATAGCAAACATGGGTCGTCTTTCTAAAACTAGCCCTACTGAATCTCCGGTGTTAGGTACAACCACGTCGTAAGATCCGAGTGATTTATCAATCGCTAAACAATGTCAATCCTCTCTATTCACCTTCCGTAAAGAATAACACGAACTGTTTGTTGGCGATGCTCACCGGAGATCCATGCGTCAGCGCATGTCGAGTGTTCACACTTGGACTGTGATCCACCTATTAACAAGTAGTAGGGGAATTAACATCGTTTTTGAGAAAATTCGTCCCAGCTTGACGTAACTAAACAGTCACCTTGCATCCAAGAACGCATCAGCCGGCTGTTTCGTTCTAAAGGGTTTTGTCAGTACCTCTCATACACCGGATACTGCTGGATTCGAAACTGTTGCGGGCCCGTCAAAAATCCCCGCAAAAACGCGCCAGTAACTCCGGCATAATGGCTGTGGGAAGCGGAGTCCAATTTCTCCCCACAACGCAGCAGTGTTCAGCCACTCCGAGGAGCGTCCCAACTGCGAACCTTTTGACAATGGTCATTTGCAAACTACCACCTCTGCGTGGTGACTATTTACACTAACTTAATAACCCATAGCCCTGGCTGTGATTGCCCTTTGTCAGTCGTAAAAGAGCCTACAGAGGACCACTTGTCTTTTCTTTCCCTTCGCCTCAGTTGGGAGTCGGTCGGGTCGCGTGATTGCGTGTGAATCGTTAGCTGGCCAGCCTTCGCGTCTAAGTCAGCGCGCGTCTATCGTACCCCCTCTCGTGTGCGTCCGTTTTCGAGGCCTCAGCGTCTATACGAACAAGTGCGGCTAAGATCGTTCCCACGCTCGTTCAATTTTCCGTCTCACCGGCTAAGCTAGCGTCACCAGGTCAGCGCAACTCCGTTCGAGTGGCCAGCGTTACAAGTCGTCATCGTAGGCGTGCTCCAACCGTGCGAGCGACAATCTTGTCACGCAATTACCACAAGAGGCGGCGTTCCCTCAATCATAACAGTGGCGACGCAATTATAACAGTGGCGACGGAGATGGGATACCATGATTGACGAATATGCCGATTTAAAATTGATGCTGCAGCAACAGCTTAAATTGATGTCCGCGCTAACCGAAAAACTTTCCAGTTCTTCCCTTCATGCAGGTCCGAGCACCAATTCTCAGTCAGTGGACCAGGTGGTTAGCGGCATCAGCGAATTTCTGTACGACGCCAAGGCCTGTGTAACGTTCGAATCCTGGTACAAGCGGTACGAGGACCTGTTCACCGTTGACTTGGCTCGCCAGGACGACGCGTGGAAGGTCCGCCTGCTTCTGCGCAAACTTGATACCGTCGAACACCAGCGTTACACCAACTTCATCTTGCCGAGGAACCCACGGGACGTTACCTTTGACGACACCGTCCGAACGTTGTCACAGATTTTTGGCGAGCAGTCCTCTCTGTTCAATGCTCGTTACCAATGTCTGCAGCTGGTCAAACTGGATGCCGACGACTTCATCACGTACGCGGGCATGGTCAACCGTGAATGCCAACGTTTTCAACTTGGCTCGCTCACCGAGGACCAATTCAAATGTCTGATCTTCGTCTCTGGCCTCCAATCTCCACACAATGCCGATATCCGGACGCGCCTCCTGTCCAAGCTACAACAGGATGGATCAATCACACTCCAGAACCTGGCCTAGGAGTGTCAAACGCTGCTCAACCTGAAGCACGATTCTGCCATGATCCAGAACACCGCCGCACCTGGTATGCTTCTGGCAGTCACAGCACCAAGGGCGCAATCGTCCGCGCGCCCCACCCAACCCGACCGAGCGAAGTCCCCACCCTACGCGTGCCGATTCTGTGGTGCTTGGCATTTCCACCGGGACTGCAATTTCCACCAGCATCGTTGTCGACGTTGTGGCAGGGTGGGGCACCAGGATGGTTACTGCCATCCTTCATCGCCCAAGTGGGCCAAAACTGGGCTGACTCCCACCCGCGATCCAAAGAAGAGGTCCCGACCCAGACGTACACTCAAACCTGGTCCGGTTGGCAGCTCCCTGAGCCTGCTGGCCACGTTCCAAATCAACGCTGCGGATCGGAGAAAGTTCGTCGACGTCTTGATCGATGGTCAGTCGGTCCGATTGCAGTTGGACACTGCGTCGGACATCACAATCATCTCCGAGGATCTCTGGCGATCCCTTGGCAAGCCACCTTTCGAACCGACCCCCCAATCTGCCATCAGCGCCTGTGGTGGTCTCGTGCAGCTAACTGGGCAGCTGCACTGCTCCGAAGGGAGCAACACTTGGTGCCTTGAGTTCGGTTTCGGAAGAATGAACAGAAAGTACGCAGCAATATTTGTCGTTTAAGAGTTCCATCAGAATCGTGAAACATTTTCTAGCCGCTAGGGTAATATTTTAATTGACACATCATCAAACAGATATGCTTTCTAACCGCAACTGATAATTCTAGAATTATCAATCTTGACTCTATAATGCTTCTACCTAAAAATACAGGCCTCACACTAAGGAAAAGGTTGAACGAAATTAAAATAATTGGCTGAAGAAGCCTTGGCGGATGTGGAGGATAAAGTCAAACTACACGAGTAGTATAAACCTCCTATTCCTAATGTATGAAACCGAAGGCAAATTGTAAGGTGATGCAAAACAGAAGGCCGTTGTTGAATATTCACTTTCCGTTTGTTCGCCGAACTAAGGGAAAAGCTGAACTGATTACTGACTTTAATTGCATAACTGCTTAACCTAACAAAAACAAATGTAGTGTTTTAGAAACTTTCACTGACAACAAGTGGGTGCCGGTGGCCTAATTCTTATAATAATTTTACCAAAAGTCTTCATCGGTATAACAAAGATTCCTCTCACACGCTTGCAGCTAGTGGT